GCCGCTGAGCCTGCGCGTCCGGAGCCTGTGCTCCGCAATGGGAGAGGCCACAACAGTGAGCGGCCCATGTACCGCAAAAAAAAAAAAAAAAAAAAAAAAAGAATCTGTGGGATTTCTAGATTGTGCCAACAGCACGGCAGACTCGAAAAGCATATCTCCAGTCAGTAAATAGGAGCATTTTTTTCCCCTTGTCAGCGTGCAAGCTCTAGTGAGATCTGTAAGCAGCCCAGGCTGATTTTACAGTGGCAAAGGGTACACCCCAAGCATTTCATGTGGGAAAACAGTTATTATGTCTTCCCAGTAATTGTATCTACAAGAGCCATCACAAAATAGAAGTAAGTCTGGGCTGTCTAAAGGGGGCATCTAAGAGGTCTTCTCCTTGCTTTGAGGCCATTTATATATGTAGTTGCAAGGCAATCACGTGGAATGGACTGAGGCTCTCTGTCAGCCGGGGGGTGGTAGAGTAGCCAGATTTAAAGTGTTACAACAATGTAGGATGACGGAGGGATTGCAATTAGGGCTTATTCGTAGGTGGTCTGCCACCATGTAGAGAGATGCTATGTCTTACGAACTTGTAAGAGAGTATGGGGAATATGCTTATTCTTACATTAGGCATGTACTGTAAGAGTACTGGCTTTGTCGTTTAGGGCAGCATCTGAGGCCACAACATGCAGGCATGGGGCATCCTCCCTGCCACAAGGTCCAAGTGACATGAGAAATATTCTTTTTTTTTTTTTTGCGGTACGTGGGCCTCTCACTGTTGTGGCCTCTCCCGTTGCAGAGCACAGGCTCCGGACGTGCAGGCTCAGTGACCATGGCTCACGGGCCTAGCCCCTCCGCGGCATGTGGGATCTTCCCAGACTGGGGCATGAACCTGTGTCCCCTGCATCGGCAGGTGGACTCTCAAGCACTGCGCCACCAGGGAAGCCCCATGAGAAATATTCTTTAGGACGTATGAGAGGTTAAAGGTTGTCCTGCAGCAATCCCATTATTTTTTCATGGCAATATCTGTGAAAAGGTTTGTGAAAATTAAATAAGCGAAGAGCCAGGGGTGTGGACAATGTTAATTTTAAGGCGTCAGAGGAAGTTAATGCCTCTAGGGGCCAGGAAATATACTCTGAGGTAGTATCTGGAGGAGAGCATATAGGGGTTTAACAAGGGCAGAAAAGTGATGAGTCCATTGGCGGCAATAGCCAGCTGCCCCTGGAAATTTATGCAGCTGCTTTTCTTGTTTTGGGAGAGGGGATGAACGAAATTGATTCAAGGCATTTTAGAGAGAGCTTTTGAGTGCCCTGAGATATTTCCTGTCCTAAGTAAGTAACGGTTATTTGCACCCATTGAAGTTTAGACTGGGAGGCTTTATGGCCTCCTTCAGCCAGTGCCTTTAGGAGAATGACGGAGTCTATAAGAGCACCCTGTTCAGTCTGGTTAGAGAGTGAAAGGTCATCAACATATTGAATAAGAGTGGAACCTTGGGTCAAGGCTACAGAATCTAAATCAGCTTTAAGGACTGGGAAAAGTATTAAGGGAGACCCACACTATCCCTGAGGTATGGAAGTCCATGTCAATCATCTTCCTCTAAATGTAAATGCAAAAAGAAATCGTGGGTCAGAATGCAATGGAACCAAAAAGAAACCTGAGCAGACATCAACTACTGTAAACCAGGCTTCATCAGCAGGAACTGAGGTGAGAATGGTACCCGGATGAGGACTATGGGGTGGAGGAATTACAAAGGAGTTTGAGGCTCTTAGATCTTATGCAAATCGATACATTTAATTTCCATCTGAATCAAATTTCCCTTCTTTCTTTACTGGCAAGATTGGGACGTTATAGGGTGAGGAAGTAAAGATAAGGACACCCTGATATAAAAAAGAGTCTATTATAGGTTTAATTCCTCACTCTGCATCTCCTGAGAGGGGCTACCAGGCCACCGATGGGAAAGGTTTGTTCCTTTTCCTGGTTCTGCACAAGCTCTGTGCTCCACAGCAATCCAATCTCATTTGCATGTGAAGCCCAGAGACTAGTTGGGACAACTTTAAGGTTGCCTCCTCTTCAGAGGATTTAAATTGAGATGAGATTTCCTTAGGGAAAGTAGGAAGCTTGAGGTTTAGTCTGAGGGCGGCGGGGGGGGGGGGGGGGGAAAGAAAACTGCCTTTTTATTACATTGTATGGTGGCATTAAAGTTACATAACAAATCTCTGCCTAAAAGATTTGCTGGTGAGGAGTCAGAAATTAGAAAAGTATAATGGGAGTTGACAGCCTAAGGATATTGGGGTGGCCTGAGATGTGGACAATGGAACAGGTTGTCCAGGGACTCTGACACCTAGAATAGAATCAGAGGTGACAGGTAGTATTAAATCCTCTGAGCAGATGCTAGAGAGACTCACACCAGTGTCAATTAAGAAGTCCAGCTTCGAATCCTCTATTTTAAGTTTAATAGTGGGTTCTGCGGTGTGACTGAGGATTGGCTGACCCTGTCAGTTGATGGAGTATTTATGGTCCCAGAGGAAGGAAGAAATGAACCTTCTGATGGTGCTGGGGCTTAGGGAAAAGGTTATTTGAGCTTTTTTTCTTTTAAGTTAAGGATAATTGTCCTTCCAACGTCCTGGCTTCTCACAATATCTGCAAATACAGGGAAGGCTATGTGATTGGTGAGAAAAATGAGTGGACTTTGAGTTACCTTTAGAGTCATCATTTTTGTTTTTGTAAAGACTCAATGTGCCCATCGAGGTCTGTTCATTTTAGTTTCTTTTTTGTCTTGTTTTCCTGCGTGCTATTTACAAAGAACTATGTAGTTGCTTCTATAATAATGTTAAGAGACCGAACTGCCCAGCCAATGACACTATTTTGGATTTATCTCTCTATATCAGAGAGAAGATTTCCAACCAAGGCAGAAATTAAAAGATGTTCTAGACTCCACAGTTTACTGCAGCGTGCCTTTGCAAAGTCTATATAAAGCATTCCACCAACGTTTTAAGATGTTCCTCTTTCTCTGAGCACATAATTCAACCTGAGACCAATTTACCTTAGAGGGAGGCCTCCATTATCCCCACATCAGGCCTTGAATGTTGGTCTGGCTGAGCCTTTTCCTGTTATTTGCAGGAGGGCCTGGGAGATTCTGGTCACCTGTTTCCTCTGGGGAAGTGTTGGTGGAGGATTTCCCACCTGAGGCCATCTAGCCTGATAATTACAGTATAATCAAGGGTGGAAGAATGTCCTTTAATAGCTAGTCCAAGTCCCTAGAGTGGGGCTGTGAAAGGCCACTAATCTTTCTAACTCTTCTCTAAATTTGGTAGAATCTTCTGAAAGTGGTGGCAAAAAGGCTTTGGAATTTAAAAGATCTGGTGCTGTCCAGGGATGCCAAATTCTTTGCTGTGGAGGTCCAGGATGCATCTTCATGGGACATTGCACAGGAAGGCCTAGAGATGACTGAGTTTAATTACAGAGCCCAGGGAAGTAAGAGGGGTTGTAAAGTACCGCAAAGTGATCCCGGCCGTGAGCTCCTGGAGCCTGGGCCAGATTTATTTCCTGGCTATCAGTGTTTATACAAATAACCTGTATATTCCAGGCCTGAAATCAGGCTACAGCGCTTCCTGTAAATCTTGCAGGGAAGGGCAACTTAAAGCAGGTATCTGGGTATTTAAGGGATTTGGGGGGGTAGTTGGAGCAGTTTTGGGGGAAAGTTGAAGGAATTTGCTGAGGAGATGGGGCCAGATTTTGAGGACAGGGGTTTGAGGCAGGGGGTCCACAGATCCAATATATCTGTGGTCAGGGACAGGTAGATGGAGATAAAGGGAGTATAGGTGGGTAGAGAAGGAAGATTTATAGTGGGTGTGGATTTTAACTTTTGTTTTTAAACCTGTTTTCTGTTCTTTAATCTTTTTAAGGGAGTCTCTAAGGCTAGCCGATAAAATCCGTTGTGTCCTCTTTTTAATTTGATCTTCCCATAGAAACCAATGGGATATTTGTTTAGGATGAGAGCTCTGTAAAATTTTTTTGAATAAAGAAGTTTTTCCAGTTCAAAGGATCCATCATCTGGTTATTGACAAATATGATCTTCAAGGGTATGTTTATTTCAATAGCAACTCAATCCAATAAGCCTTTTTATGGAAAGACCAGAGGTAATTTTCTAGGCACAGACACAAGACACATCCCCAAAGCAGGTCTAGAAGATGCAGCCCGCAAAATCCAAGAAGTTTCACTCTAAGAAAGCAGAAATCCTCATTGTCACGGGAGGTAAGAATAGCGTTTGTGAAAATTGTGACTCCAGTCTCCCACAAGAATTTGAGATTCCTCTAGTCGCAGACCTACTAGTTTGTGACACTGGGTAGGCAATACTAGGAAGGGGCTTTCCCAGCACTAGGGAGATAAAGGTCCCTTATGGACTGGGATCCTTTATTAAGACAAAATCCCTGAAAGCTGTCACGGTTGGACAAAGAAACTGCTGCATGTCACTTCTTGTCTTGGGTTCCCAGCCTGTGGGCAGGTCACTTGAGGCAAACCCAACTGGCAGAGACCAGAGAGAATATTCTCACTGGTCACAATGCCAAGCTCTCAGGACATAAAACAACATGAAGAGAGAATCTGATCCAGCTGTTGTTGTTGTTTTTATCTGTGACCCACAGCAAAGTTTGTCTAAACAGATGCTGATCTGGTGAGAACTATAAACTAGTCAGACTGTGAGGCCAGCTCGAACAACAGCCTTGTGAGACCTATACCTCTGTTTTACCCTATGAATCTCCTCTTTATGACAAATGACATAGAAACAGAGACAAAGGAAAACTATCTCTGGGAGGCAGGAGATCAACAGAAAACAAGAGTACTCCAAACAGAAAACATTAGAGGTGCTATGCACAAAAAACTAGTTCACACCGATGGTTTTCCCTGCCAATCTGAACTTGAAAAGGGAAAAAGACAAAGGGAGACTCATCACTCTCGCCCTCCCACCCAGACCCTACAGGTGGAGATTTGGGAGAGAGTGACATAGTAAGAACTCTTACCAACTTCCAGCGTTTGTCAAATGTCCCAGGATCTCTCAGCTTCAGCCCCGAGAGTGATAAGCAGTGACCCAGTCAGTACTATCCCATCTTCACTGCCAGAAACGGTAGGGGAGGCAAACGCTGTAGGGGAAACATAACTAAAATGAAGAGACCAAAGGAAGATAAGAGTTATTTTAACAAGGTCTGTTAGTACAGAAGTTTCCTGGCCTTGACTCTCATGTCTGGTGATAAGAATATTCCTTTCCTCCTGGCACAGGGAGGGCAGCTCTCACATGGGAGTTTTAACTTCTGTTTTCAGGAATAAAAAGGGAAATCAAGTACCTTAATTTCACCTGCTCTTTTTCAAGTGATTTCAACTCAAAATAATATGTCAAGGTGGCATATTTTGGGGTGACATGTCCGGAAATCCCTTCACTTTTCTTCCTGTGTATGTATGGTCATACCTTCCTAAGCTTTTTTTTTGCATGCAATTTTTTAAATTGGAAATTTGTAGATAATGTATTGCAGCAACTCTGAATTCTTATCCCCTCCGGGGTAGTTGTTGTTGCTGATTTTTTTTGTTTCTGTAATGGCTTGCCTGGATTAACTCTGTAGAGTCTGTCTTCCCGGCAGTGTGTAGCCACTGACGCCTTTGTTCAGGGTATTTTTTTGTTTTTTATTTAATATACTTTTGCTTTATTTTTAAGTCTGACTCCCTAGGGGTCAGCCTAACTTAATGGTCAGTCAATGATTGATTAGAGGTTGTACATAAACATCTTGAACCAGTAAGGTTTCCACCCTTGGCTGTGAAGTTGCGTGTATTTAAGGAATGTCATCAAAGTTCAGGCAGTTTACAGTCTGCTCTAGCTTATTCTTTCTGCATACTCAAGACTTCACATTCATCAGGGACAAGTAGATAGCCAGGGCCCTATCTGGTCTTTCCTCTGTGAGTGCATGTCATTGAGCATGCGTACATCTGCTTCCAAATCACCAGGGCTAAGTGGACACTTCTGAACCCCTCTATCACTCTCTTGATCTCTGGATTTCCCTTTTAATTTTCTAGCTGGTCTGTCAATCTCTCACTTGCCCAAGCAGTATTGACACCTCAGGCAGCCTTCTTAAATTGTTTGCTATTATCCCTGGATTCTCCTGTTATCATTTTTGACAATGCCCTTGTGTATTTGTGCTTCTCTCCAGAGCAAATCAGCCCCCTCTAGTAAGAAGGCTGCGATTCCTCCAGCTTGCCTGGCCCTTATAAAAGTACTGAGTAGCAGAGCTGGGTGGGGAATGGCAGAAACCCCAGGATAAAATGCACAGACTCCCAGTATTCTTAATGATGCTTAGTTTTTCTTAAATAAATGCTTCTCAATTAGATAGATGCCTTTGGTCAATTTCCAAAATCCTGGAATGGCTGTTTTTAACAGCTTTGTCTGATTTTGTATTTGCTTTTTAGGGAGAGGGTTTGCCTACTGCCTCACTCAACCTTTCCAGAAGTCCCACCTCACATTCAAAATTTTTGCTTTGGGCCAGAGGTCATTGTAACGTTTCATTATGACATGTGAAAAAGGGAAAGATATGCAAGACTTATGAACAAGCTTATGAATGAGGAGATACATCATATTTTTTTAATAAAAAGATTCAATATCAAAAACATTGAACTATAGATAAAATGAAATTCCAATTAAAATATTGAAACAGGAGGGAAGGGGGCAGGGCCCAACCTTTGAGAGAATGACATAGCCAGAGGACATGACATAAACTGATTAGAGCCAAATGGGTCCAAGATGGCAGACAAGTCGACTTCCACTAGCCCTTGAGCCTCAGTATACGCTCACTGTAACACATCAGTAAGCTAAATGACACATCCACAGGCACCATGGCAGTTCCAAGACCAACCATAAGGATCAAAAAGTGGGCGGTGGCCCAATTCCTGGAAATCCCTGCCCCTTCCTGAAATAGCTGGAATACTCCTTCCACTCATTAGCCTATGAAATTAGGCGCCCCTATAAAAACTGACAACCCCATACTCTGGTGCTTTTCTCACCTTCTGAGATGGCCCACACTCTGTCTGTAGAGTGTGTTTCTCTCTAAATAAATCCACTTCTTACCTATCACTTTGTCTCTCACTGAATTCTTTCTGCGATGAGACATCAAGAACCTGAGCTTCATTAAGTCCTGAAACCAGGTGTGTGACCTCAGTTGGAAGACCTCAATTGGAAGACAGTTTTGACTGGGTTTGAATCCTAGCTGTGTGGATTCAAGTCCCAATCAGGAGTTTGGCTGGGTTCAAGTCTCAATCTGAAGTGCACAGTTTCAATATCAGCGGGGCTCTTGATGGAACATGATTAGACAGTGTAGATACTGACACAGGAATAAGCCAATGGCAGAGGTTAGAAAGGCTACAAACAGATTGTGTAGGCAGAATTCTACGAATGACTCCCCCTGGACCGAGGTAGAATATGAAATGTCCTTTCCATGATTACATTACATTATATGAAAAAATAAAGATTATCTAGGTAGGCCTGGTCTAATCAAATGAGCCCTTTAAAAGTAAAGAATTTTCTCTGGTTGGTGGAAGAAGAGAAACTCAGGGATTGGAAGGCCGAGAAGAATTTGACATGGAATTGCTGACTTTGAAGATGAAGGGGGCACAGGACAAGGAATGTGGGTGGCCCTGAGCTGCTGAGAGTGGCTCCAGGCTAACAGCCAAGGAAATGGGGACCTTACTCTTATAGCCTCAAGGAACTGAATTCTGCCAACAACCTGAATGAGTCTGAAAGCAGATTATTCTCCAAAACCTCCAGATAAGAGCCCAGCCCAGCCAACTCTTTGATTTCGGCTTTGAACCCAGCCAAGGCTGCCTAGACTTCAGATCTACAGACCTGTGAGATAATAAGTGGGTGTTGTTTTAACCTGAAAATTTTGTGGTAATTTGTTATGCAGCAATAGGCAACTAATACATAGCCCTATATTTATACAAGTATTTGACAGATGACAGAGAGCTGGCTTTGCAGATTCTTGGTGAAAGGAGATCTCTTCAATGAGTAATTCTGGGACAAATGGTCATACATATAGAATACAAAAAGGTTGGATCTCTACCTCAAAATGTGACAAGCAAATAGAAATTTTCGATGTAAGGAATTCCTTAATGAAAGATGTAAAACACATAAAACGATTGAAAATTCAAGTATGCAAAAAATTTTAAATTCTATTTATCAAAGGTCAACATTGAACAAAGAAAAAAGAAGGAAAGGACAAGAAGTCTGAAAAGCAGGAGTGTACAGTGTCTCAAGAGTTCCGAGAGAAGCATGTTTGTAGAAAGGAAGTTGCCATCTTTGCTGAATTCTACTGAGGGGGGAATTTGAGGAAGACAGAAGAATGTGCACTGGATTTGAAGACACAAGGAACACTGATGACCAGAACAAGAGCATTTCAATGGAGTAGGAGGAAACCCAGGGTAGTGCGCGGACAGCTGTGTCTCTTGTTCATCACCCTTCCAGAAAACGCCACACCTTCCTAGATGCCTAAAACGCCCTATCACTTGCATATTCACAGCTCTCCTAAAATATCTGAACATGGTAATGACAGGTTCTAGTTGGCTTTTATTCTGTAACAGAACAAGTAGAATTATGATCTGTATCATGATTTACTTAGCTGATATCACATGCTTTTGAGAATTCTATCATTTTTCTGACATTTCTTCATCTCTAGCAAGATGAGAAAGAGAGAAACCATAACAAAATTGTGGCCATCTCTACAGTCAAAATAGGTCTTAGTTGTTTCTAGTCAAGCCGAACTTTCTGGAGGGTCAAGGGATGGAAATTTGAGGTGCATTTTGCCGTGCTGAAATCTTACACTATATGTATGTATGTATATATATATACACATACATATAGTATATATATATGGTGTAAAAACCCTGAAATTAATCCCCCCCCTTCTTCCTCTCATTGTACCTTGCAATGTTGACTCAACTGGTCATTTTGACCCCACTAATTCAATAAAAAAAACAACTCAGGATAAGGGGGCGCAGGGGATGGGAGAGAGGCCCAGTCGTGTGCTCCCTAGGGACTGGTTGTATCTCAAACCATGGAATCTTGAAAATATTCCCCTTCCTCAAAATTATTCTCCTCCAACCAAAATAGCTCCTAAACTATAGAAGCTGTGGATGTGCAAAAGGATTTCAAGATTTCACTAATGAAGATTATAATTAAAATATTTAAATGGGTTTTTAATTTTCTTTCTGGGCTATGCTATTTCCTAGTCCTCTCGAGGAGCTGCTATTGTTCAATCCTGACAGAATTCTCTGTTAGAAATTATAGCCTGCTGCCTTTCAGCATCTTCATTAAAATGCAATGCTGCCAGATATATCTGCATGCATATGAATGAAGCATCTATAGAATAATTAAGTCATGAATAACACATTGCTGAGCATGGCTTTTCCTGAATAGGGAAAGACTATTATTTATGAACCAGAGATTTTATATTATATGAAAAAATAATTGGCAATAACAAGTATTATTTGAAGACACATTAATTTAAATTATGATTGCCCTTCTATAGACTCCATTTTTAATAAAACAGCATTTACATTAGAAAATGGATGTGAATTTATGTGCCATTTTTCTTTATTTTGCTCAAAAGGCCACCTGAAAGCTTTTTGGCAATGGGGATTGCATAATTTGAGAATCTTGAGGTCTTTTACAAACAAAAGGTCATTAGCATCACAGCGACTTCATAGGCCTGGGTTCAAACTAATAGCTACATATCAATGGAAAAACATAGATACTGTTCACAAGCAGTACTTAGGCTTTTTCAAGGAACACTGTGGAAGCAAAAGCTGAGCTCCCCTGAATCCACCCCTCCCCCATGCCGTGTGTTTGAATCAAGAAACAGTTCTTTTCCAAAAGCCCCAGTTTAGCAATGACCACATTCTAAAGTTAAACTGTGCTGTAGTTTCAGCACTGCTTAATGTTTAGCTCTGGGCTCTCCTGAGACCTTTAGCCACAGTGCACTGCGTGCTAAAGTACAGAGGCAGAGGAAGAGTAAGTGAGAAGACATGAGAAAGACCAGAGAGGGAAAAAAAGGACGCAAGGCTCAAGGTGAAAAGAGAAAGGAAACATCTCTTCCTTCTTGACCTC